GGTACCTTCTTTTGGAGTCCTTATAGTAAGGATCCTACTATTTAAGGTACTATATTAGGGTCGTTAGGGGTACCTTCTTTTGGAGTCCTTATGGTAAGGATCCTACTATTTAAGGTACTAAATTAGGGTCTTGAGGGGTACCTTCTTTTGGAGTCCTTTCAGTAAGGATCCTACTATTTAAGGTACTATATTAGGGTCCCCTATTTTCGGAAACCCCCACATCAGGACGCTCACAAGTCCGGACTTCCCCAAGATCCATGATGAGCTGCCGAAGCTCTACAAGGGCAAGGAGGTGCTTTCAATGCTGAGGGTTGTGGGCTGAGGGGTTTAGGGGCTTTTGCCTCACCTCCTCCTTTTCTTCCCTGTTTTTTTTCTGAGGGGGCGATATCCCCCGGAAACGTACAATGATCTTCTATGCCTACCGTGCGGTTTTGTGTTTGCACCTGTCCGAAGTTGTCGGCAGAAACTCCGCAGGTTTGGGAGACGAGGCATCTAGGTTTCGAGAGGGTCCCCAACGTCAGACCTGCCCATGAAACTGGCCCAACCAAGCCGTGCACAGGTTCGCCTCCTCTTCTCTGGCCGTTATTTCGACACGCAGCACGAAGAGGCACAGCAGGCCTTGGACAGCCTGCAGCACTACATCTCCCTGGCGAGGCCCGCCCTTGGCTTCACCGGGTTTTGGGGTGTAGGTCTAGGGGCCTAAATGAGTACCAGCACTATTCTTGGAGATACCGTATAGCAGTTCAGTATACTCCAGAACCCTGTTCTACTTAGTCAGGCCCCTATAGTAGGTCTAGGTCTCCGAAGCAGTACCATGTTAAGCTGCAGAAATCACCTTGCAATGACGGTCGCGATAGCAGCAGATGGATCTTTGCCTTGTCGATGCTGGCGGTTCCTGGTAGCATTTCATCCCATATACTGATCAGGCTAGTGGTGGACGTGATATGATCCGTTCTTGCAACTATGACCATCCTCGCAGAACTCGATCGGAAAAGCGTGCGATGCCGTTCCTTAGGGTTCCTTATTAGATGAAGCATACAATGTAAACCATAACCCTAATCTAACTGGTAAGGCTTATTAGATGAAGTATGCAATGTCAACCATAAATTGGTATTAGAAGGCCCTTCTGTTAGCCTCTGCCTGCTAAAATGGCCTTGCACCCGGAGGCCGGCAGGAGAGGCTTTCCCCGCTGTCAAGCAGATCCTCCATGAGAGGTCTGGCTGGCTGGGGGGGAGGAGGGGGGCCCTTCCGGGGTTCAAAAAAGGGATGCCGTGGAGGAATATCTTGGGCTTCAGGGGTACCGCCGAGGCCATGTCTTTTTGCACTTCTGCTGGCTTCCTAGGGTGGCATTGGCCCTTCACTGTAAAGCCGAAACCCCAAGGCCTCGGTTGCAAGCGAAATCGAATCTACGCACTTGCGACCCTGCCCGAGCTCCGAAGCGCAGTCAGCTGCCATGCCGGAGCGGCCGAAGGTCTGAGACTCTCCACAAGAGCCAGCTCTTCAAAAAGGACCAGGAGGCGAAGCGTGCCTCGGCGGAAGGAAGGACAGTTTTGGATCCGTTCCTCGTAGTTATGGTGTGGATGTCTTTCGGTGCTTTCTGCTAGATTCTGGGGCTTGGTGGGAGAGTGCTCAGACAGAAGAGCAACAGAAGAGCAAGACTGACCGCATGCTATCCTATCGAACTTGTTGAGTTGTCGCAGTGCTCTATTGCTCTACGAGTTTTTTGTGATCATTCTACTGCTCTGTTCTGCAATCGCATGGTTCCATGGCCATGTTTTGTATTAGTTTCTTTGGTTTCTTCTGTGTCATGACCCTGCAAATCTGCCAATGTATACTTGTATCATCTAAAAGCAAAAGAGAACCACACATACACAAATAGGTGCATCTCTATATAGTTTGTATATGTATGTAAATATATGTGTATATATATATATGTATGTATCTACACACATATGTCGAGATATGTGTACACACACACGCACACACACATAGAAGACATATATATATATATATGTATATGTATATATATATTATATGTATATACACACATAGACACATATGCATATATATATATACATACTTACATACATACATACACACATACATACATACATACATACATACATACATACATACATACAAGTCTATGTAGAAGATGCTGGGCTGATGACCCCCGTCCCCACCCCACGGTATCCCACCATCCCTGTGGAGAGTGGTCTTGTTGGTTGGGAAGGATGGGGTTCGGGCACAGCCCGGGATCAAAAAAGACATAGATATAGCTATAGGTGTAGATATAGACATCATAGATACGGACGGATAGATAGCGAGGGAGAGACAGAGAGAGAGAGAGATCTATAGATGGATAGATAGATAGATAGATAGATAGATAGACAGATAGACAGGTAGACAGAAAGACCGCTAGACCGATAGACCGACAGGCAGGTAGTGTGTATACATATAGCGTGTACGCAAACATCTGCCCATCTGCGCTCAGGAAAGCTTCTCCTTAAGGAGAAGGAGCTTCAGGAGACCATGCGTGTCGCAGAACGTCGTCTCATCGAGGTGCCAAACCGCTGTCAGATAGCGTCAAGAGACTGATTCCTTGGGGCTTTCTGTTATAAGTATACTATTATAGACTTGTTTCCTTATTTCCTTCTGAATTTCCTATTATAATACACCGAGCGGCGGTTCCTTGTTGTAATCATGCTGTAATACTTGTAATATACACCCACACCACATCTCTAGTTATTGAAGGCAGAGAGCGTGCTTGACTGACAACCATAGCACGCTGTTTCCAGCTGGATTGACATCTGAACTTGGGCACCATACCGAACAAGTTACAGACACGCGGAACCTTCGAGCGTTATAGCCGTGGAATGTTCATGCAGTGCTACATGGTCACGCGTCGCCCTCTCACCTGCCTCCTGAAGAGCAACACACGAAAGACTTTCTCGGCGCACACACGAGTTTTCCGACAGAGAAACCCGAACCGAAAGATCGAAGCTCGAAGCCGTGGAACAGACCCGACCTTCAAAGCCATTCCAGGTTGAAAGAGAGAAGCAGATCATCGCTAAGAAGAACCAGGAGTTGGAGGAGGCCAAGGCCAGCCGCTCCCCTCACGATGGTGAGGCTATGAGACCATAGGATGGCCAGACATGCCCAGATGAGGAGGATAAGGATTCACCGCAGGCATGAGGCAATGACCGCGACGGTTTGCTTCTTCAGCGGCTGTTGGCAAATGACTTCTTACAGGGCGTTGTCTTCCCAGGATTTCGGTGGACATGTTGCATTGCGGTCCAGCGTTGTTGATGTTTTTCGTGTTCAAGATTTAGGAAGACTGACCGTGCTGCAGATTGGGCACACAGGGGTGGGGACCCTTCTGCACCATCCCAGTAGCCGCAAAATTACATTCTCCCTCCACTAACTCCTAAAACCCTAAAAAAGCTAACCAGGCAGAGGGAAAAGGGCCCATACAAAAATCCTAAACCACGACATGCCTGAAGGCAGAAGTCGTGGACGAGCTCGCCCAAGTCTCGGTTCAGAGCTCTTGAGGGTCGGACTTACGGTTTGGGATTTCGGGATTCTAAAGTTTAGGCAGCCGTTGTTAACATGCCGGAAGACCAAGCTTAGAACCCTCTTTGTGCCAAAATGCCCTAGCCCAAAAACACGTCGCTCGGACTACCCCTTGAAGTTCCCCTAAGTCTGGCCATTGCAGAACCCTGCACCCCAAATCCCGAAGAATAAATCCGCAGTCCCAAAACTTAAAAGCCTAAACCCCCGAACCCCTAAA